TGCCCCTGGGTTAGGAAGAAGCAAAGAGCTACAGTCCTGGGGCAAGTATAGTACTAGGCAGTTTCCCACAACAGGAAATTAGGAGCTAGGATCAGTGGAGAAACCAGTCATAAAAACAGAACAAATGCAAGATGAGGGTTCCAGAAAGCAAAGGCTATGTGATGCTATACACCAGATGTTTTCCAGAAGACTTAAGTCTCACCACACAAGCAAGGACTGTTCTTGGGAAGTGAAGACGGGGTAGAGTCTGAGTTTGGGGGTGGTCATGATGGGAAGTAGGGCTATGGGAAGAAGAGGAATTCAGAGGTATGGAATCAGGTAGAAGACACTGTTCATAATCTAGGTTTCCTCAGGTATAATGAAGCCTCTCTTCATAGATGAATGTTCTTAAATTATCCATTTGCTAATAAAGTAAATATCCTTTTCATGTAACTATAGTGGCTTCTGAGATTGTCTCGTCAACATTCACACCATCCTGTTGCCATTGTTCAACATATTGATCCCTACCTCCAGGGATGAACCCTAATTGGTCTAAGCTAATCATGGTAAACCCATGCTGCTGGCCAGTGGTTGACCCAGGAACCCAGACTTAAGCCAGTCAAGGCGTGTATTCACTTGGACAGGGCCATTTTTCAGGAATGGTTTCATGATACAATTCAGCCAACAAGATACAAGAAAAGTCTGTTAAGGGCTTCAGGTATGTTTCCTTGCCCTCAACAGAGAGGCACAAAGAGAGATCCCCTCCCTTCCTTTCATCTGTAGAGTGCTGCAGAGTGCTGATGTGTGGCCTTGTAATATTGTGGCACTTCTCTGGTAGCTTGAGAATAAAGAAAAGGGAAGAGGGCAGGGCCATGGGATCACAAGCAGAAGTCCTATGTAATACCTGACCTACCTCTAGGCCTTTATGCAAGGCAATACAATTCTTCATTGTTTAAATCACTTGATTTGGATTTTCTGTCACTTGCAGCAAAAAGCATCTTATCTGATATAACACCTTAACTATTGCCAAAAGTAACACTTAACACTTAGGGACCATTTCTCATTAGCAAGCCAGTCTACAAATCACATCTGATCACAGACATCTCTAAAAGCTAGAACCAAGTTATTAAGAGAGAGTCAATTTAATAATATTAAGCGTGCTTCAATCTTTAGGCTCTGTGGCATAAAGCAATAGACCAGACTTGGCTTTTGGTCCTGGTTCTGCCACTCATGACCTGCCTATCCATGGAAAGTCCACCTTGCTTTCTTGGGGATTGAGTTATATCATCTGTACATCTCTATAATTTTCTTCAGCTCCCTAATTTCACTAAACAACTCAATCAAATTCAACAGTCCTGGAGAAAGAACTTATGTGTCAGGGATGACTATGGGCATCAGGAACAGAACATGGAGTCATGGTTCCTGATGCTATGGAGCTTAACATCTTCAGTGATTCTACTATGTCCAGTGCAACTAAACTAACTGATGGGTTAAAGAAATGAGGACTGAGCAAGAGGGGTGGTCTTCGTGCTTCTGTATGAGACTTGACTAGAATGATCAGGATTTTTTGGTCTGAACAGATGAAGTCAGGGAGAAATATGATTTATGTAGAGAAAGTAAACATGGACTGTTGTTTATCTTTCTTTCTCTAAGAACCATTCTTGAAGCTCAAAATAGGAAAATTTAGGACAAACAGCAAAGAGTTTTTACATTTTCCTCTATTTGAGAATGTAAGGGGTAGAGTACTTTCATGAGGGCTTTGTAATTTGCCCCATGTTAAAATGATGGCTTCTGGTTCTTTACTTACGGATTTCCTGAGGACAAATTCTTAACCTCTCTGCTTTGCACCTACTCTGCAGAAGATAGCAAGGAGACTGTGGTTATTGACCTTCCTTCTCACTTTTTTTTTTTTTTTTTGAGACAGATTCTTGCTCTGTCGTCAGGCTGTAGTGCAATGGTGTGATCTCAGCTCACTGCAACCTCTACCTCCCAGATTCAAGGGATTCTCCTGCCTCAGCCTCCCGAGTAGCTAGGACTATAGGTGCATGCCTCTATACCCAGCTAATTTTTGCATTTTTAGTAGAGATGGCCAGGATGATCTCGATCTGCTGACCTCGTGATCCGCCCCCCTCGGCCTTCCAGAGTGCCAGGATTATAGGCTTCCCACATTCGTATCCCATAGGATCTAGTACGTTGTGTCTTCATTCTTGTTGGTTTCAAAGAACATTTTTATTTCTGCCTTCATTTAATTGTTTATCCATTCATCATTCAGGAGCAAGTTGTTCAGTTCCATGTGATTGTGCAGTTTTGAGTGCTTTTCTTAATCCTGAGTTCTAATTCGATTGCGCTGTGGTCTGAGAGACTGCTCTGATTTTTGTTCTTTTGCATTTGCTAAGGAGTGATTTACTTCCAATTATGTGGTCAGTTTTGGAGTAAGTGCAATGTGGTGCTGAGAAGAATGTAAATTCTGTGGATTTGGGGTGAAATGTCCTGTAAATGTCTATTAGGTCCGCTTGGTCCAAATCTGCATTTAAGTCCTGGATATCCTTGTTGACTTTCTGTCTCATTGATCTGTCCAATATTGTCAGTGGTGTGTTAAAGTCTCCCACTATTATTGTGTGGGAGTCTAAGTCTCTTCATAGGTCTTTAAGAACTTGCTTTATGTATCTGGGTGCTCCTGCATTGGGTGCACAAATATTTAGGATAGTTAGCTCTTCTTGTTGCATTGATTCCTTTACCATTATATAATGCCCTTCTTTGTCTCTTTTGATCTTTGTTGGTTTAAAGTCCATTTTATTAGAGCCTAAGATTGCTATCCCTGCTTTTTTTTTTTTTTTTGCTCTCCATTTGCTTGATAAATCATCTTCCATCCCTTTATTTTGAGTCTGTGTGAGTCTTTGCATGTGAGATGGGTCTCCTAAATGCAGCACGCTGGTGGGTCTTGACTTTTTATCCAGTTTGCCAGTCTGTGTCTTTTAATTGGGGCATGTAGGCCATTTACATTCAAAATTAATATTGTTATGTTTGAGTTTGATCCTGCCATTGTGTTACTGGTTGGTGGTTTTGCCAGTTAATTGACATGGCTCCTTCGTTGCATTGTTATTCTTTACCATTTGGTATATTTTTGCAGTGGCTGGGGCTGGTTGTTCCTTTCCCTGTTTAGTACTTCCTTCAGTAGTTCCTGTAAGGCAGCTCTTGTAGTGATGAAATCTCTCAACAGTTGCTTGTCCATAAAGGATTTTATTTCTCCTTCACTTATGAAGCTTAATTTGGTCAGATACGAAATTCTGGGTTGAAAGTTCTTTTCTTTAAGGATGTTGAATATTGGCCCCCACTCCCTTCTAGCTTGCAGAGTTTCTGCCAAGAGATCCGCTGTGAGTCTGATGGTCTTTCCTTTGTGGGTGACTCAACCTTTCTCTCCGGCTGCCCTTAGGATTTTTTCCTTCATTTCAACCCTGGTGAATCTGACAACTATGTGTCTTGGGGTTGCTCTTCTTGAGGAATATCTTTGTGGTGTTCTCTGTATTTTCTGGATTTGAATATTGGCCTGCCTTGTTAGGTTGGGAAAGTTCTCTTGGATAATATCTTGAAGAGTGTTTTCCAACTTGGATTCATTCTCTCTGTCACATTCAGGTACATCGATCAAGCGTAGATTAGGTCTTTTCACATAATCCCATAGTTCTTGGAGGCTTTGTTCATTTCTTTTCACTCTTTTTTCTCTAATCTTGCCTTCTTGTTTTATTTCATTGATTTGATCTTCTATCTCTGACATCCTTTCTTCTGCTTGATCAATTTGGCTGTTGAAACTTGCGTATGCCTTGTGAGGTTCTCGGGCTGTGTTTTTCAGCTCCATCAAGTCGTTTATGTTCTTCTCTAAGCTGATTATTTTAGTTAGCATTTCGTCTAACCTTTTTTCAGGGTTCTTAGTTTCTTTGCATTGGGTTAGAACATGGTCTTTTAACTCAGAGAAGTTTGTTGTTACCCACCTTTTGAAGCCTGCTTCTGTTAATTCATCAAATTCATTCTCTCTTTTTGTTCCCTTGATGGTGAGTTGTTATCCCTGGGAGAAGAAGAAGTGTTCTGTTCTTTGGTGGTTTCATCCTTTTTGCGCTGCTTTTTTTTCCCTCCCTTCCCCCATCTTCATGGATTTATCTCCCTTTAATCTTTGAAGTTGGTGATTTCAGGAGTAGTCTCCGAGTGGACTATTTTTTCTATTGCGGTTGGAGCCGTATCTTTTTTGGCCTGTAGAGGGCGTTGCTGGGCTCTCCCGCGTTCAGTCCGATTGTTGGGTGGGTGGTCCTTCCCTGGAGTTCCTTCGCAGGTGAGCTTGGCCCCGCCCCTTCCCAACGGCTTCTCTCTCAGAGCTCCATCTTGCCGGTTGGGGTCACGCGGGTGGATTTGCTGCCAAGCTCTCAAGCGAGGGCTTCGGTTTGAGTTCCGTGGAGGTGGGGCCTGCCAGGCCTTACTGGTCTGTTTCCCTGCTTTCAACTCTGCCTCCCTCTGTGGGGGTCCGTCCTGCTGGCCTTAGTCCAAACTCCTCCCAAGTCCCTGCTACAACCTGCCGAGCCCGGCGGGAGCCGCTGCTCAGATTTGCATCGACTACCCAGGGCGCCCACCATCTGGCAGGGGCCCCACGGACCATGGGTTGCAGGAGCGATGAGGCAAGCACAGGATCCGAGGCGGAGCACCGAGGCGGTTAAGCCCCCCAACCCTCCGAGCTGGCTGCACGTTTGAGGTGGGAACGCGCCGCCCCCGCTCCCCGCCTCTTGATTTACCCCCCTGGGCGGCTCTCACCCTGCGGCCAATTCCAGTGCCCTGTCGGTCCCACGGAAAAGAACCCACCACCTCTTCTGGAACCGTGAAGTCCTCCAGCCCTCTGCGTCTCACTCGCAGGGAGCTGCGTTTCTCCCCTGGCTTCTCTCAGCCATCTTGGCGCCGCCTCACCAGCTGGTTTTCCTGCTTCCCGTATATTTAAATGGTTTAGTGTGTGGGGAGGTCTCTGAGTAGCAAAGTGTCCTTACCCTGTTTCCAGAGGGGCTCCCAGGGTCTGTGGGAACTCCCCATCTTTGTCCCTAGCAGTGACCAACGCGAAGGACTTTGGGCAGCTCGCGGCTCCTATGGGACATGGTTCTCCCAGGGTGCTATGCGGAGCCTGCTTCCGGTTGGAGAGCCCCTTTTGATTTTTCTCTTGGGTTCCTGATAGTTTTTTCTCTGCTCACTACATCAAAGGTTGCCATGGGACAAACCCAAATGTGGCAGGGAAAAAAACACATACGTGGGGACTAAATAGATTTGAGTTTGAATTTCTTACACATTATGTGACCTTGGGCAAGTTATGTGCACTCTGAGCCTCAATTTCCACATCTGTAAATTGGGGATAGTGCCTCTTACTGTTGTAAGCACTAACCTGACAGCATATGCAAAATATCCAGATAGTGCCTGGTATTAAGAAAATGCTTAAGAAATGCTGCCTCACTTCTTCCTTCACAGAATCCCTCACCACCTGGTCAGCTGGAAATTGCTGACCTTGGAGAGTGCTGATGTGCGGCCTTGTAATATTGTGGCATCTGTGTCACTGACTACCATCTTGCTCTCAGCAAGGTCCCCAGTGAGCCCTCTTGAAGCTAAGCTCATGTCACCCACCTCTTTTAAGACATATCTTCTGGAGAACCCGTGAAAGCTTCCTGAAAGCTGCATTTGAAAAGTGAACCTGGGTATCATCTTGTAGTTTTCCTTCACTTTCTTCTTTTTTTCCTTCTTATCCTAGTGTGTTAAAGAACTGTTTTCTTTCTTTCTTTTTTTTTTTTTTTTTCATTTGTTTGTTTGTTTGTTTTTTGAGACAGGGCTTCACTCTGTTTAGAGTACAGTGATGTGGTTATAGCTCACTGCAGTCTCAAAGTCCTGGGCTCAAGTGATCCTCCCGCCTCAGCCTCCCAAGAAGCTGGGACTCTAGGTGCCAGCCACCAAGCGTATCTAATTTTTAAAATTGTTTTTGTAGAGATATGGTCTTGCTAGATTGCCCAGGCTGGTCTTGAACTCCTGGCCTGAAGTAATCCTCCTGCCTCCAACTCTCAAAGTGCTGAGATTATAGACACAAGCCACTGCACCTGGCAAGAACTCTTTTCAAAGTCTTCATAGAGCTTTTCTCAAAGGGGATATGGGTATACGTACAGATCACTTCCCAGGAGCAGCTATAGTTCGCAAAAGGGATACATAACTCCAGTTTACTGGTGAGTCACCTTGACTTAGGTGACAGTTGCATGGGAAATACTACAATAATGGCAGCATATGATTGTTAAAGATTTAGCTGGATTCATTAAAGACAAAACCATAATAGGTTTCTAAGAGAACCTACAGTTTCCTACAGAATGTTTTGAGGCATATCGCCAACCATTGAGGTCAAAAGTTTTTTTCACAATCCCTTTAATTCGATCGGAAATAACATCGACTATCATTTTGTGACAATATGATAAAATAGATGTTTTCTTCTGCTGAGTTTTACTCTTGCACTCATCAGAAATACATAAGTACAGTGTGTTAGAATCTTCACTTTCTGCTACGAAGACATAAAGGTAAATCAGAAATGAATACTATTGTTAAGGAGTTTCAAAGCAAATTGTTTAAAAACAAAGCAGGCTTTCTTGGAACATTGAGGTTTGGTTAAGCATTTTGGCAACTTTTCTAGTGGATTAGATATTAGACTGATAATTCTGTTATTTCGCTCACCAGAAGTCTATAACCTGTAGGAACTTCTGTCTTTCCATATTTAAAGTGGGAACAAAATAGCGAATTGTTGAGTAGCAGATTTTCCATATTTAAAGTGGGAACAAAATAGAGAATTATTGAGTAGTGGATCTCAGGATAAAATTGATCTTACTGAGAAATGAAAAGCACTTTTGCTGTTATTTAGTGATACAAAAGAACATCCCCAGAATTTGTGACTACATGGGGCATAGAGGAAGCCCATGGTGTTCCCCAGAAAAGAAAAATCCTTAAACTTGGGGCTGGGAGTTGACAAGATGGTAGACCTTATGATAAAAATACTGGAAGGAAAATTAAATTAAAAGAAAAAAAATACCAAATTTATTGATGGAAAGATGTTTTTCTAGTAGGTTAAAAATACTGTGAATGTGAACACTCCATTAGATGCAAAAGCCCCCCAAACAATGGGCAGGAATTACCCATGCTATTCATATGTGAGACTCCTGACTTTACTGTTAGGAAGAGATTATGAGGGAATGAGAAAAGCCTTCAGAGGGTTGAGAGTTGGTTTCACTCTTTCCACATGGAGGAAAACTGTTCTCACCCTATTATCTATTAAATATTTAATTCCCAGTAGAGCATGGATACCAACCGATTAATGGGATACCAACCTATTATTTCCTCCCAATGCCTATGTGCCCTAACTACAGCTCTTCCCACTTCTTTTTTCTTAATGTGTTTTATCTTCTTCACTCTTTTAATCCTGTTCCTCTTTCTCCTCTACTTTCATTCATCAAAAATGAATGATGGTCTGGGTGCAGTGGTTCATGCCTATAATCCCAGCACTTTGGGAGGTGGAGATTGGCAGATCACTTGAACCCAGGAGTTTGAGATCAGCCTGGACAACCTGCTGAAACTCCCTCTCTACAAGAAATACAAAAAGCTGGGCATGCTGCCTCGAGTCTGTAGTGCCAGCTATAGGAGGCTAAAGTGGGAGGATCACTTGAGCCAGGGAGGGTGAAACCAGTGAGTAATGATTGTGCCAGTGCACTCCAGTCTTGGCAAGACCGTATCGAAGAAGAAGAGAAAGAAGCAGCGAAGGAAGAAGGGGAAGAGGAAAGAAGAAAGAACAATGGCCCCTCTATATGGCCAAGACAGACGAAAAAGTTTTCAGCCCCATTTTCCCTACCTCAAATTATTTTTATGGTATACAGTCCTACTACTGTGCCAGAAGGATTTTGTTTCCTTAATGCATTGACAATACGCAAAAATATTGATTGAATAATATTTTTTTGCAATGAGAATGGCAATTTGCTAGAGCAACAGAAAAACAAAATCATGTTTTAGCTGGAAAAAAAATATAACCAAAGCCAAAATTATCTTGGGGTCTGTCACAGCCAGAAATTTCAAGAGAGGTAAGAGCAACTAGTCATCTCCCAATCTGCAGTGCTGAAGGCAAGGAGGAGAAAATAAATATGGGAGTAGGATGGAGAAAATGAATGAGACTTGCAGGAAACTGGAGCACAGAGAGCTAAGCGCCACAGTGAGCAACCTCAACAACCTTTTCAAATGTGCTGCCTTCATCTCTGACCTACTCATTGATCATAAGGAAATAAACCACAACACCTTTATCAATTGTTGCTTAACCGCCAATGGCCATAAACAGTGGCATAATGTTAAATTCTGTCCTCTTCTATCTCCATGTCTTTCCCAACAGCCTTCTAAAAACGCTCAATCAAGATTGCGTTGAAAGATGGGTGATTGGAAATCTGCTCTCGTGCTGTCTCATCCAGATTCATGGTAGATAACCTGAACCCCTACACATGACTGTCTGGAATTTGCAAAAATGGAAGCCCTGGGAACAAGCCTCCAAAGTTTGAGAGCATAGGCATACTCATGCTCTTGGGGGCTAAGGATGGTCTTTGGGAGATATTAGTACCTGAAGCCATGGAATAAACTTGATGATGCTTGTCTTGTCAATTTTACTCAAAGATTTAGTAGACAGAATTATAGTTTATTTTTATGCAAACATGGTGTGTGTATGTGAGAGAAAGAGAGAGAGAAAAAAAAATCTGCAACAATTTTAAAGATAAAACAAGTAACCTAAAAAAATGTTAGCTCTGTCTCTGCCTGCTTCAAGCTCTGACCTCAGACCTTATGGGGTGTTTTCACTCTCCTTTGCCATTAGGGAGTAATGTAGAAGAAATATGTAAAAATCGCTTCCTTAAGAAGATAATTTCCTTTTCCCCACTATACCAGCACTCTGTTGTAATTTCCAGCATCCACCTCACCCCAGAATTAATAGGTGATGAGTCGTTGCTGAGTTGTTTTAATTTTGGGGAGCAGCAGACTTGGTATCTTTTCCAGGATGAATTGGGGAGAGGGACATGAGATACCGAGGAAAGTCTGCCTCTGAAGGCTGAGAATAAAACCTCACATCATTAAAGTGAATACAATTACATCTTCACCTCTGGGAAAAAACTTTGGAGGTAGGGGATGGCATTTTCCAATTCTGGGAATGAAACTAGCGCCTCAAGTTTAAAACTTCCTAGAAACCACTGCAGTGAGTTGAAGATGGGATTGGGGGAGTGATGGGGAGATTTTTATTCCCCTGACTTATCTGTTCTTTGTTTTGGTTCCTAACTGGGTCATTGTATTGGCAGGGGGCCTTCAGCTTCAAACTGTGTCTTTTCACAGTTTCCAGTCATTTTCATTGAAGGGGAAACCTTCCTCTTTAATGAAGGCTCCCAACAACCTGTTATCTGGAAGAAATCTTAGTTAGAAATGGGTCATCCTTAGAAGGAATCTGAAGGAGGGGTTGGTGGGAGGAGGGAAGGACTTCCTGAAAGGAGGTCAAGTCATGCTGGAAAAAATTAAAATCGCAGTGTTTGTAGAGATGAGTTGTCTCTTATTATCCTTCTTTGCTCCCTGTGACAACTATCATCATGCTAGAGCCAGCCATTGTCACATGGGGACCTGCAATGCTGTGATTTATTTAATCCATTTATACTAGAAATATTTATTAACCACTTGTATATGTTGACATACATGCCTGAGATTCAAAGATGAATGGCTTGGTTTTTCAGAAAGCTCATCATTCATAAATAGGTAACTGTAGCCGGGCATGGTGGCTTGCGCCTGTAGCTCCAGCACTATGGGAGGCTGAAGCGGGCAGATGACCTGAGCTCAGGAGTTCAAGACCAGCCTAGCCAACATGGTGAAACCCCATCTCAACTAAAAATGCAAAAATTAGCTGGGCATGGTGGTGCACGTCTGTAATCCTAGCTACTCGGGAGACTGAGGCACAAGAATCACTTGAACCCAGGAGGTGGAGGTTGCAGTGACCCGAGATTGCACCACTGCACTCCAGCTTGGACAACAGAACAAGACTCCATCTCAAAAATAAACATTTTAAAAAGCCATTATAAACTGATGAAAAGGTAATAATAGAAGTAGCCTCAGGTTATGAGACCTCCAATAATGGTCACCAGGCTGAACAGGGTTGGGGGTTGCGGGGGGGTTGTGAAAGCTTGAGATGGTGGCTGGGAATGATACAACCCCTGTCTGCATCTTTAGTCTTACTTAATCCCACTCTCCACTGCGGTCTGGCTGCACAGACTGTTTCTTTTCTTCTTCTCACATGCCACATCCTTTCCTGGTGCAGAGCCCTTTCTTCTGCTGCCCCTCTGCCAGGAGCACAGCAGAAGTAACAGCTCTGGCTGCTGCTTCTTGGCTTGGCTGCCTCCCTCTCATTCTTTATTTGCATCCAGTGCCATTTCCTGGGAGAGGCCTTTCCCAACCACCCTAGCTGAAGCGCTCTGTGTTCATTAGGGCAGGTTAGGCTATGGTGCACAGTGCCTTAAGGATAATGGAGTTCATTTGTCACTCATGGAATAGCCATAGTGGGTGTTCCTGGTTGACAAGCGGCTCTCTTGATGCAAGGATTCAAGAACCCCTCCTGTGGTCCTGCCTTCTCCCTGGACTTTCTCGTTGCTGACATCTCACTGGTAAAATGGGGGAGATATCCCCATATCTATAAAAGTTTGATCCAGAAATGGTGTATGTCACTTCTGCCAACATTCCATTGGGAAGAAGATGAAAAAAGAGTCTGGGAAATGTAAGGTAGTCCAGTGATGTGCCTAGGAAAAGGACAAGGAGACATTTGTGCATTGTGTGAAAAGGACAAGGAGACATTTGTGCATTGTGTGAATTATTTCATACAGCCCATTGAGCTACATGATATCCTCTACTTAATATCTTTATGGCACTTACCACACACCTGACATCACCTTGTTTATTGATGTACACTACTGTGAGGTGGCTCCCTCCACCAGAGTCACCTCTGTGCAGACATGGATCTTGACTGCTTAGTTCATGCTTAGTCCCTTCTCTTAGCAGGGCATTTGATGCCCAGGACAGTCAGTAAAAAATTGTTGACTGAATTATCAAATGGATGAATGATCATAATCTTAAAGATCAACAAGAGAGGAAAGTGGGGGAATGCTTCTGAGTGAGTGAGTGAGTGTGTGTGTACACAGAAGGGCCTTCCAGGCAGAGGGGATAGTGTTAGCAATGGCATGGAGGTAAGAAATAGCACAACGTGTGCAGGTAATTACCAGCACTGGATAATAATTAATGAGTCAGAGTACAGCTGCAGATAGTGCCGGAGATCTAAGGAGGAAAATACCTTTTGTTCTTCCATTCTTCAATGACTTTTAATACTGAACATTAGTTTTATAATTTCTATCATTCACAAACCTTAAGATCCTTTTTTCTGCAGCATGCTCCAAAGGCCTTCCATGATTTCCTCCAACTGTATTCCTCCAACCCTATTTCTCACTGTTAATGCTATCTTCCTATATTCCCCATGTGAATTTCCATCGCCTTTTCTCCGTTACTCCCCTGGTGCTATTCTCTCACCTGGTATCATCCTTGTTTTCCCCAAGATGTTACTTGTGTTCTAGTTAAACTTTATATTTTCTTTAATCACTGCATCCGGCAGTTATCTCTCCTTTCTCTGAATTTCTTTTATTTAGTATTTAATTAGCTATAAATATATGGTAAGTCTCTCCTATGTTATAGCTTAATTATGTGTGTGGTAGTTTTGTCTCACTGACTACAGATATATTAGAGAGAGAGTCTTACTCTGTTGCCCAGGTTGGGTGTGATCATGGCTCATTGCAGCCCTGAACTCCTGGGCTCAAGCGATCCTCTCGCCTCAGCCTCCTCAGTAGCTGGGACTACAGGCACACCACCATACCTGGTTAATTTTTAAAATTTTTTGTAGACTTGGAGTCTCACTATGTTACCCAGGCTGGTCTCAAACTCCTGGCCTCAACCAGTCCTCCCGTGTTGGCCTCTCAAAATGCTGTGATTACAGGCATGAGCCATTATGTCTGACCATCACTGATGATGTTTTTATCTCCTGGGATACAGGAACTATGTCTTAGACTTCTGATCTGACATCATCCATTCATTTAACAAAACGTATGGTGCATCTCACAGCACCAGACCAGAGATATAATATATTCTGTCACCCACAGTGTTTCCAACAGAGACAGATAATGGAGATGCAAAGTTGCCTAAGACCAAGTCCTTATGGCAGAGACAGGTAATTGCAGGGCCAGGAGTAGGGAGCAATTTTCTTCTAATCAACATTTAGGGAGTATGTCCCAGTTGCAGAAAGGGTCTAGGGGACCACATTGTCCCCTGTCACTGCTGTCAGTCTCTTCTCTAATCCCTCGGGTAGAAAGAGAACTGTTATGAATTCTAGCTAATGACTCCATTCACATTGCCAGAGTGTTGTTTTAAAGCTTCCAAAGGAAACTAAAATTTCAGTTAGTTCAAGGAAAAGGGCATTACTACCAAATGGTACATCTGTTGGTTTATGATCAGGAAGATAAACCCTGCAGTTCACTTGGGTTTTATTGGAGCCACAGGAAACAAGCTGTTGGCTATCAGTAAGCATTAACCCCTGGCTGAAGGGAGATGATGACCTGAGCAGTTTTTGTGGTCCTGCTGAATTTTTAGAGGCAGCCTGTGCTCTGAAAGGAGGTAAAATGGGCAGTGGTGGCATTCTCCTTTTTCCTCTTCCCCAGCCTCATTTTCCAATGCTGTTATCATGGTCAGTTTTGATATATTACGCTTTCTAAAGGGGAGAGGGAGAAGCTCAGGAGGTGGGAATACCTCAGGGAGGTCTGCGGCAGGATGAGAAGGTCTGGTTTCCTCAATAAAGACATCTTATATTCCTTATTCCGTCACACCATGGGCATCCAACATTTCTTTTGTACTGTAAAACTATATGGATGCCCCTCTCTTTTGACTTTATATTCTATTCTCTCCTTGTAGGAAAATGCAGCTAGACAATCACAGTGAACTATGGGGCGAAAAGAACACACATGTATCTGAGTCTGGTGCATTTATTCAGTTATTTGCAAGAGTGAGAACCAGGATGAGGATGGGTGAGTGAATTCCACCTTCATATATTTTAAAAATTCCTATCTCCTCTACTGGACCTTCAACAAAAATCCCTCTATCCTTTCACACTTCTACCTCTTGACCTTACTCAATCCATTTTCCAGTGGACTCATAGGGGTGGCTGGAGGGAGAAGGGAGAAATTCAGTGGCCTAAGTAATTCCTGGGTTGGATATTTAGAGCTTAAATTGTCAGCCAGCTGTCTTGGCAATTCTTATGTACCCTCTTCCCTTTATTACCCCATATTCACCCATCTTGTCTACGCTCCATGATTCCAATGTTATTGACTTAGTGCCATTCCAAGGCTAAGGTCTCTCAGCCTATTACCTATGGCCCTATATGCCATAAATAATCCAGGAGCTCCCATATATTCCCAGGCCCCTTTGGAGTAGATTGGGGCCACATGACTAGTTCTGATCAATATTGTCTGAGTCTGTTCAGAATGCTGTAACAAAATATCTCAGAGGGGTTGATTTATAAGCAATAGAAATGTCTTGCTCACAGTTCCAGAGGCTGGGAAGTCCAAGACCAAGTTACCAGCAGATTCATTGTCTGATGAGAACTCATGCTTTGTGAATGGCCCCTGCTGTGTGTCCCCACATGGTTGAATGGCAAACAACATCCCATGGGTCTCTGTATAAGAGCACTAGTTCCACTTACGAAGGTGGAGCCCTCATGACATAATCATCTCCCAAAGCCCCTACCTTTAATATTATCACATTGGGGATTAAATTGCCACATGTAAATTTTGAGGGGAGATAAACATTGAGACCACAGCAAATGGTCTAGGAACAGAAATGATAGGTGAGACTTCTGGACTAAGGCCACTAGGAGCCTGGTGTCTCTTCTGTCCCTCTCTCACTGGAGGACACGACACATACTCCAGATGTGGTAGAATCAAGAAGAAATTACAGCAGATTTTACATAAGCAAGAAATAAGCCTGTATTATATTCAGTCTGATATATGTGTATTTGTCTGTTGCTGCCATTAGCTTTAATTATTCCAATAAACCTCACGACTCAAAGCAGCATTTTCAGACCTTATGTCTTTCATAGCTTGTTTTAAAATACTGTTTTTTGAAGCACATTTAAAGGACGTTAAAAGTTTAAAGCCAGTCATCAATAATTACCACACAGCTACAGCAGCAGCACAATTATGCCATGTAGCATTTACAAATGCATCCACAGTCATCACACTTTCCTCTGAATGCCCTTCACCATAGTTCTTGTTTGAAAAGGGTTTATATCTGGTCCGGTTGTCCTATAGACATGCAGGGGAAAGTTTTGTTTCATTCAGTTAACATGCAATTTTTAAAAATCGCAGCCATGTCTGCAAGGCTCTATGCCATGTTGCATGACCTGCTCAGTTTGCTGTTTCTCCCACAGGCGTTGCTACAATGGCATAGTTTTTGGTTAAAGCACACTGTAGTGTTAAATAAAGATCAAACACATGGCAATGTTTGTGGTGTGTTTGCTACTAACCTATGGTGTGAAGTCCATGTGTATTACACCAGGACCCTATTCCAATTGTTCCCAAACTTTTGAGTCTCACAACTGTCATGCTCAGACCCATGCCTGTCTCTGAAACCTTAATTTCCATTGCTACTACTTTCCCTCACATCTCTGCTCATGTTGTCCTCTCTGGCATTAACACCCTCCTTCTTTTGTCCTTTTACATTTCCTATTCTCTCTCTTTCTCTCCCAACAGGGCAGCTTCTACCTATATTTTAGGATCCAGCTCAAGCATCACCTCCTCCACAAAGCTTTTTCTAACCCCCTCATCAGCTCCCTGAGCATCCTGTGCTTATTTCTAGCACAGCAAGTGTCCAAGTACAATTCAATGGGTTTAGTATTTTTATGAATATGTGCAACCATCACCACAGTCACTTTCAGACCATTTTTATTGCCTCAGAAAGAAACCCCTACACTTTAGCCATCATTACCCTTGTACTCCCACTCCTTCCCGCTAACCCTCAGGAATTACTAACCTACCTCCTATCTCTACGGACTTGCTACACATTTCATGTAAATGAAATCATATAATATTGTGAATGGCTTCTTTGACTTAACATGTTTTCAAGGTTCATCCATGTTGTAGCATCTATCAATATTTCATTCCTTGTTATTGCTGAATAATATCTCATTGTATAGATATGCCATAGTTTGTTTATCCATTCAAAGTTTTTACTTCTTGGCTATTAGGTGTAATGCTGCCATGCATATCTATGTGCAAGTTTTTATGGTTAGGTATGTTTTCAGTTCTCTTGAATATATACGAAGGAGGAGTTTCTGTGCCACATAGTAACTCTATGTTTGACCATTTGAGGAATTATTACCCTGTTTTCCAAAGTGCTTGGACCATCGGTAGTGTATAAGAGTTCAGTTTCTCAGCCAGGTGCAGTGGCTCATGCCTGTAATCCCAGCACTTGGGGTGGCCAAGGAGGGCAGATCACGAGGTCAAGAGATCAAGACCATCCTAGCCGACATGTGAAACCCTGTCTCTATTGAAAAAAAAAAAAAAGACAAAAAAGTTTAGTTTTTCCCCAGGCTTTTTACTGCTTGTTACTCTCTATTGATTCTAACCATCTTAATGAACTTAATGAGTGTAATGAATGTGACGGGGTATCTCATTGTGGTTTTGATTTGCCTTTTTCTGATGACTAAGGCTGTTGAGCATTTTTCCTGAGCTTATTGGCCATTTGTACACCTTCTCTGGAGAAATGTTTATTCAGATACTTTGAACATTTTAAAACTGTGTCTTTTTATTATTGAGTTGTAAGAGTTCTTTAAAAAATTTGATGTCTCATGAGATACGTGATTTACAAATATTTTCTCTCATTCTGTGTTTCATCTTTTTACTTTCTTGATGGCGTCCAACTAAACACAAAAATTGCATTTTTATTTTATAATATTTATGTTTATATTTTTCTTTTTTAAAGTTTATTTTAGGTTTGGGGGTACATGTGAAGGTTTGTAATTTGGCTGCATAGTATTCCACGGTGCACATGTACCACATTTTCTTTATCCAGTCTGTCATTGATGGGCATTTAGGTTGATTCCATGTCTTTGTTATTGTGAATAGTGCTACAGTTAACTTTCATGTGCATGTATCTTTATGATAGAACGATTTATATATTCCTCTGAGCATATACTCAATCATGGGATTGCTGGGTTGAATGGTAGTTCTGCTTTTAGCTCTTTACGGAATCGCCATACTGCTTTCCACAATAGTTGAACTAATTTACACTCCCACCAACAGTGTGTAAGTGTTCCTTTGTTCCACAACCCTGCCAGCATCTGTTATTTTTTTACTTTTTACTAATAGTTATTCTGACTGACATGAGATGGTATCTCATTGTAGCTTTGATTTTTCACTTCTCTAATGATCAGTGATATTGAGCTTTTTCATATGCTTGTTGGCTGCATATATGCCTCCTTTTGAAAAGTGTTGGTTCGTATCCTTTGCCTGCTTTTTAATAGGGTTGTTTGTTTTTCTTTTGTAAATTTGTTCAAGTTTCTTATAGATGCTACATAAACCTTTGTCAGATACATAGTTTACAGTTTTTTTCTCCCATTCTATAGGTTGTCTGTTTACTCTGTTGATAGTCTCCTTTGATGTGCAGAAGCTCTTAAGTTTAATTAGATCCCATTTGCCAATTTTTGCTTTTGTTGAGATTGTTTTTGGTATCTTTATCATGAAATCTTTGCCCATTACTTTGTCCAGGGTGGTATTGCCTAGGTCATCTTTCATTTTTTATAGTTTTTGGTTTTACATTTAAGTCTTTAATCCATCTGAGTTGATTTTTGTGTATGACATAAGGAAGGAGTCTAGCTTCAATCTTCCATGTATGGCTAGCTTGTTATCCCAGCACCATTTATTGAAAAGCCAGTCTTTTCCTCATTGCTTTTTGTTGTTGTTTTTAGCTTTGTTGAAGATCAGACAGTTGTAGATGTGAATCCTTATTTCCGGGATGTCTATTCTGTTCCATTGGTCTATTTGCCTGTTGTTTTTGTACCCAGTACCATGCTGTTTTGGTTACTGTAGCCCTGTAGTATAGTTTGAAGTTGGGTAACGTGATGCCTCCAGTTTTTTGCTTAGGATTGCCTTGGCTATTTTTGCTCTTTTTTTGGTTACATGTGAATTTTACAGTAGTCTTTTCTAGTTCTGTGAAGAATGTCATTGGCAGTTTGATAGGAATAGCATTGAATCTGTGAATCGCTTTGGGCAGTATATAGCCCTTTTAATGATATTGATTCTTCCTATCCATGATCATGAGATGTTTTTCCATTTGTTTGTGTCTTCTCTGATTTCTTTTCATGGTATTTTGTAATTATTATTGTAAAGATCTTTCACCTCCCTGTTTAGAGGTATTCCTAGGCATTTTATTCCTTTTATGGCAAATGTGAATGAGATTTTCTTTCTAATTTGGCTCTTGACTTGACTGTTGTTGATTTATAGGAAAGCTAGTAATTTTTATACACTGATTTTGTATCCTGAAACCTTGCTGAAGTTGTTTACCAGCTGAAGGAGTCTTTGGGCCAAAACTATGGGGTATTTTTCTTTTTTTGCTTGTGCCATTGATGTTATATATAAGAATCCATGATTCCAATCTAAGAATTAAAAGTCATGAAGATGTACTACTTACTATGTTTTCTTCTAAGAGTTTACTGTATTCGTTCTTACAATTAGGTTTTAGATCTATTTTGAATTTTTGTATGTAGTGTGAGGTAGGGATCTGACTTCATTTTTTTTTTGTTATGGATATTCCATTGTCCCACTACCATTTGTCAAAAAACTCTTTTTTCCTTATTGAAGTGTCTTGGTACTCTTGTTGAAAATCAATTGACCATAAGCATGAGAGTTTAAGTCTACGCTCTCAATTCTATGATTCATGTGATAGACATGTAATCCATATGTCTATTCTTTTGCCAGTACCACATTGTCTTGATTACTTTTGCTTTGTAGTAAGTTTTGAAATCAGGGAC